TTCATCCTTTCGAAAATATCTAAGCTTATTAAATATTAGTAAGTTAGTAGAAATATGATATGTAAATTTAGAAATATGTCTAATTGATACTACAACCTGAAAATTAAAATAAGGATAAAAATGATTGATATTATTTCTTCTTTGATGAAAGATCAAGCAAGGTGGTAAATTTTGTTGTTGCTCACTTTTATCCACTTAACTAACACATGTAAGTAAATTAGACAAGGGAGTTAACATAACTCAGGGATATAGCTAACGTCCTAGCAGGTGTACTTTCATGTGGCATTTTTTGCTCCAGTTCAACCTTGTGACAGGTGAAAGACTGAAGAGAGAGAAAAAAAAAAAAAGACCCAGTCAGGTTCTCCAGGAGATTGTCATTTGGTGGCAATGATAGAAGTATTCCTATTTAATTTAGATATAAGACAGACTGGCATTAGTTATAACCTAATTTTATGGGATAGATTATGAGGAAAGAGTAGAAAAAGGAATTCTTGCTGAGGTAGGAGATGTGTCTGGGAGGGCTTTTGGGAAAAGGTGCTATTTGAATTGGATCTTGAAGAAAGATGTAGTATTTCAACAAATGAATTTTGGGTAAGTATCATTCCACAGTAAGAAAACTGTGTAAGTAAATGAGATAAAATAGCTGTTTTATTGACGCTTTATGTGCTAGGTATTTTACATGCATTAACTCATTAGATTCCAAACAGTCCTGTGAAGTAAGTACCATTATCTGAACTTACAGATAAGGAAAGTGAAGCTTGTGGAGATCATTTGCTCAAGGTTATGTGGTTGATGGATTCTACAACAGGGAGAGAGGTCTGTCGGCTAGGCTCAAATTCAGGAGGTGGAAGTGGGTTCCGGCCTATTCAGGGAATGACCAATGGGCTCATATGCATGAAGCACAGAACTGAGGGAGAGTTTAGGGCAGTTTCCCAAGTTTGCTGAATCACTGGGGGCACTTGTTTAAAATAGAGATTTCCAGGCCCCTTCCCTGGAGATTCTGATCCTGTCGATGTGTAGCAGGGCCTCAAAATCTGTGTAACAAGCTCCAGTTGATTCTTTTGAATAGGCAAGTTGATGAGCTTGATTAACTTAAGATGTAACATGGAATAAAGCATTTAATTCTGAATTGGTGTTCAATTGTGTGTAGAATTAGAGAAAAAACTTTAAAAGAAGCTACACAGTTTGAACTTTGTTCTCTATTTAAGGAGGTACCATGCAAGGTTTATGAGGCAGGGTATGAAACTATTAGATGCTTACAAAAAAAATGGATGAAAAATTTGTAGGAAGAAAATGTGATATTTTGCTAAAATTTGTAAATGTCCTTTTTTAATTTCTTATTTTATTTTTACTTCCAATAAATTGCTTTTAAAACAAGAAAGGTTAACTTATTAAAGAGGTACCTAAAGCACTTTTTATTTTGAAATGAAATCTTAAATCATACCTAATGTTTAAGATTATGGTGAAAGTAAGCATGTATATTTTACCATGAAACTCAAAATAATGAGTATAGTGACTCCAGCTTTTTAAAATAATATTGTTCTCTGATTTTAAAAGTAATACATTTTTTGTTGGATCTCAATGCTAATGGAAATATTTGTTTCCCTTCCTTCCTGTCTCCACTTTCTTCAAACTTCTGACCCCATTACTTTCTCCATCACTTTCAGCTGGCAAGGTTGCAGCCTACTTACCAGACAATAAACACTGTCACATGGAGACTGCCTCAGCTTCCTGCCTGAAACTGGCAAGTCACCATCCACACCAGCACCCTTCTTTGGCTCTTCCCTCTAGTTTTAGGGAAGAGGTGTCCAGGGAGGTCATATCTCTCCTTCTGTGTCTTGTATGCTATCGCCTCCTACCACCTCAAGGACCTCTTGTTACCAGAAAGGGGTCCCAGTCCAGACCCCAAGAGAGAGCGAATTCTTGGACCTCACCCAAGAAAGAATTCAGGGCAAGTTCACAGAATAAATTGAACGCAAGTTTATTAAGAAAGTAAAGGGGAAAAAAAGGGCAACTCCGTAGGCAGAGCAGGGGCATGGGCTGCTTGACTCAGTATACTTATATGTTATTTCTTGATTATATGCTAAACAAGGGGTGGATTATTCATGAGTTTTCTGGGAAAGGGGTGGGCAATACCCAGAACTGAGTGTTCTTCCCTTTTTTAGAATATATAAGGTAACTTCCTGACATTGCCATGGCATTTGTAAACTGTCATGGTGCTGATGGGAGTGTCTTTTAGCAACTAATGCTCATTATACTCACTGTTCACTGTATGCTAATTATGATTGGCATATAGTGAGCAGTGAGGATGACCAGAGGTCACTTTCGTAGCCATCTTGGTTTTGGTAAGTTTTGGCTGGCTTCTTTACCGCATCCTGTTTTATCAGCAAGGTCTTTGTGACCTGTATCTTGTGCCGACCTCCTATCTTATCCTGTGACTAAGAATGCCTAACCTCCTGGGTATGCAGCCCAATAGGTCTCAGCCTTATTTTGTCCAGCCCCTATTCAAGATGGAGTCGCTGTGGTTCAAATGCCTCTGACACTCCTTTTGCCCATTACCCCTTTCCAAATTCCTCCTCCTGTTCTTCAACTTTAGTAACATACAGACCACTTTTAAGGAAAAGACTCTTGTGGATTTCCAGGGTGACTTAAGTTTTTTAATTATAATTTTAAATAAATGAGGTATAAACTGCTTTATAGCTCCTATATAAGATGAAAACCATTTTATGAATTAATACAAATAAATTACAAAATTTAATAGCTGTTATAACACTATAAAAAGCACATTTAGAAATTAAAACCATAAAACCTAGGAAATTCAAATGTACATAGTTTAATGTACATTTGTAGATGTACAAATTCAAATGTACATAGTTTAATGTATATTTTTACATGTAATGTACATAGTTAATGTAAATACAACTAAATTTCAGCTTATTTGGCTATGAGGGAGGTAAACTATACATTTAAGTTTAGTGCACTTGAAAAACAGCAAGTGCCTTTGTGCTGTTTCTTGAAAGCAGCAGATAAAGCTCCCATGTGAAAGACACCCTCCCTATACTAGAAAAATGTAACATTCTTATTCTCAAGGGCATAGAAGTGAAACCAAGAGAATTCTGTACAGACCTTGTTAAAATAACTTATCTTTTAAACTTCCCAATTTAATTTAGTTGCTTCTGCACAGCTACCTGTTCTTTGTCCGATCCAGTATATAAGTTAACTGACTCTAACTGCTTCTTTGGGTCTTTGTTTCTTATGAGGGCTCCCCTGCCATGTAAAACTTGGATTCTAGAGCAGGGAAAGAGGTCTCTCTGCCAGGCTCAAATTTGCAAGGTGGGAGTGGGTTCCGGCCTATTCAGGGAATGGCCAGTTGGCCTGTGTGTATGAAGCACAGAACTGAGGGAAAATTTAGGGCAGTTCCCCAAGTTTCCTGAATCACTGGGGGCACTTGTTGAAAATAGAGATTTCCAGGCTCCTCCCTTGGAGATTCTGATCCTGTTGATGTGGAGCAGGGCCTCAAAATCTGTATAACAAGTTCCAGTTGCTTTTCTTTTGTTAATCTATTTTAGGTAAGTTTAATTCTCAGGCCCAGCTGGGACCCTAAGATGGAGGTAGAGTTTTTCTGCCCCTGCAACAGCTACAATCCAGGTTCCTTTGAGTTCTCCATGCATATACCCCTACCAGCCATGTGATGACTCATCTCCCATTATTCTTTCTCTGTTGGAACCATGCCATGATAACAATATAAATTAATACTTCCTCTAAGAAATCTGTCGTGGCCCCACATATACTATTTTGGTTTTTTCTGGGTATTCCATTAGAACCTTGTATTTATTGTAATACTTATCACCGTGTTATAATTGCCCATTAGAGAATCCCCAGCACTCAGCCTTTGAGATCATAAAATAACATTGTATCCTTTTTCTACATGCTGCAACATGAACATTTCCTTCATGCTTTACTCTTTGAACACATTCTAGTTAAAATCATAATGATATTTATATATATTTAACTTTTTCCCCATTATTTGACATTTTAAGATTGCTTTCAGCTTTTCACTTTTGCAAATTTTATAAATTTGCATTCTTTCTCAGAGTAGATCTCTAATAGTTGAATTACTGGATTCTGAGGGAGGAAATTTCATGTAATGGTTATTGACTTAGGTTCATTCTTTGGTTGGCTTTGTTGACTGCTAGCCATGTAATCATTAGTAAGATGCGTAACTTCTCTAAAGCTTAGTTTCCTTATTTTAATATAGAGAAAATATTTACTTCATAGTATGTGAATGCTCAGCATTGTATATGAAAAAAGTAACCAGAGCCAAGGCTGACTCTCAGTCAGTGCCAGCTGTTATTTTTGTACTTAAAAAATACTTGATGTAGGTATTCATAAATGACAGGTAGATTTTACCTGTTTACACTTCCAACTTTAGTAATGAGAACACTTAATTAGATTATACAATTTTGAGTTAGAAAATGAACATGAAGTTGATTCCACAGGATTGCCACTCATTTGTGGCACTCTACAATACCCACTTGGGATAATGTTTGCAATTGCGAAACAATATGAAACCCATAAAACTATAGAGCGTGTTCATATTAACATCTAGATCGCATTGCTTAAAAGTGTCCATTACTTGCACGGATGAGGCCCTAAGGAACGGTAAAGTGCGGTTTCCTTCGAGGGGAAGGCTGACCAACAGCTGTTAGGCATTAGAAACACAGGCCAAAGACCAAACTGGATATCTAGCACTGGAAGAAAAAGGGGAAAAACCCAGTGGATCTCCGCCTGTTTTAACAAGTTATGCTGCTCTAAGGAAGAGCGTTCCGGGGAGCGTAAGCGGTGAAACTTCACCTATTTCTATCCTTCCAACTGAGAAGCCCTCCGCGAAGTTTCAGCTCATTGGCTGCTGCTTTCTGTCCTCCTTGTTTCTTCTGGGAAGCTTCTCCGTCTCCCTGGCAACCCGAACTGCCACCAATTGCAGCTAAGAATTGGTGGTCACATGGCCTCTGCCCCCTCCATGCAGAGGCAACATGGCGGCCTTAGCAAGCTGTAGCTGCGAGATTTGAATTACTTCACTTGTAGCTGTTGCATGCCTGACAATGGCCTCTGTGGCTTCGTACGATTCGCGTCCGAGCTCAGACGAGCTCCCTGGGGACCCCTCGTCACAAGAAGAAGATGAGGACTGTGATTTTGAAGATCGAGTCAGCGACTCGGGTTCATATTCCTCAGCGAGTAGCGATTATGAGTAAGGTTTTCAAAGAGGGACAATTAAGCCCATCCCTTCAATCCAGAGAATATACACGTGGGCTGGGGGGACTGCAAGGGTGTTGGCGTGGTTGGAATCGAGTATTTGGGGTTTTATAAGTGGGATTTAATTGCACCACGTTCCGTTGTATGGTGGTGTGAGCAGAAATAACGATGCCATTCTTTGCTACTGTAGGGTTTTTTTTTTGTTTTTAAAATGATTCTTAGATGAGGAGAATCTCCTCTTTCTGGTCATGGGCTCTGTCTAGGCCATAGGAGGATATATCTGTAACAGTGTTCAAAGAACTCTTCGTTCCGATCGCAGTGTCTTCTTGCTTCTTTGGTGGGGTCTTTGTGGCTTAATCTCTTCAGTATTTGGAGTAGAGAGACACCCTACACGTTTTATAAGGCAGTTGTTAAATTTATGTAGATGTTTTCTGTTATGGAAATGAATAGCTATATAACAGAAGGAATGCCTACCCATAGTCTCACCACCAAGGACAACCTCTCAGCACTTCTGGATATTTCTGCTGGATTTTCCTATGCATCTCCATGGTTTTCTTGTTTTCCATTTTACGTCATAATTTAATTTTTTAAAATACAGATACCTAAAGATTTTCACTTTCTTAATAATGCCATGAAAAGGTTATTTTGTTTCACAGTACTCAGTGCTACTTCATTTTTTTAAAAAATCTATCCCTTGCCGCAATGGATTAAGAACTTTGGAAAAGTCAGTTAGCAGTAGCTTGAAGTGAATGACTGACTAATCGTGAAAAAGTTTTGGTGCCAAAATGTCAACTAACCCATTAATGGACAACCATACCTTGTCAGTTTTAGGATGATATTTTATGTGTATTTAGGAACAACAGTTACAAATAATTTATGTGTATGTAGGAGGAACAGTTATTTGGCAATTGTTTTTACCTATCAGTATGTAAAAGATTTTTATCATTGTCTTTAAAAGTATGGTGAAGAAACCTGCTTAATACGTTCTTGAAGACTTAAACAAATTTTTAAATATCATATTTTTTGTAATATGCTGTAGGCATTTAAAAAAATAATTTTAAAATTCATGATTATTACACAAGACTGCTGGAAGGAAATATGAATTACATAGAACCTTATTTGGTCTTGGTATGTGAAGCCATAGACAGTGTAAGACTCAAACTCTTGGTTTCTCACATTTTAGAGTCACATACTTTTAGCCCAGAGAGAATCTGTAATTCATGTATGGTTGCACAGCTGAATGTTGTCAGTGTGAGAATTCAAGATGCCTGATACCTAATGGGCCACCATGACTTCGATGGGATTAAAATAGTGAACTTTGTTTCCTAGGAAATGACCAATCTACGGACCTTGTGATAGGAGAACTTGTCACTTAAAAGTATTTCATGGTTCAAAATACATATATATGTGTTACATTTTTGTAAAAAATGATCATTAAGCTTTTCACATTTCAATAACCACGCCAAATGTTCTAGTGTCTTTATCCTCCTAATAATAAAAGTATAGCAAATCCCTACCATAAGATGTTTTGCTGGTCTGTGTTTCAAGTCCTACCAGGTTTCAAATTTTAAGTCTGTCCTTTCTTGATTTGTAGGACCTGAAGTTTAATTTGCTGAACTTGCCAGAAAGGCTTATGTTCTGTTCTTCCCTTATCGTAGATGTTTACTTCCCTAAGCTGCAGTCATCATTATAAGCAGTGGCCTTCCCAACTTGTACAGAACTACTCTTTAATCAAAGGTACAGGAATGCCAACCTTAGTCTGTCTCATTAAAGCAAAGACATGAATTTCCTATTGCATTTCATGGACTACATGAAGCTTACTAAGGAAGTCGTACTGCGTATTGATTCACATAAAGTATCCTAAATTTTCGAGGTTTTAGTTACCTGCATGTTCTGTGATTGTCAATATGGAATTTAAAAGTTTATCATCTTTGAGATAAAATTACATTACGGTAAATTCTGGTAGAGTTATTTTAATAGGTTTGTTTTAGGTTTGTTAAAGAAGAGTTTATATTGCTGCAGTATGTCTTAAGTTGGCACATGGGCATGTACCCTGGGAGGCTTCAGAGATAATACTGGTGGGTCGGTTGGGTTGAGGGAGCCATTAGCTAGTTTTAGTATTAAGATAACGAAATCACGCATTCATTTGCAACAATGCCAGGTTACCAGCTAATATGCCTAGTTCATGTTACACAGAGTTTGTCAATGTTATGACTTGGATTTTTGATTTTTCAAAGTGAATTTTTTGTTGTTGTTACGTCAGTTTTAAAACTGACTGATGGAGAGAAACAGGAATAATTTTAAATGAGATGTTAGTTGTTAAAGCTAAGGAACTTCTACCTAAAACACGAGGATTGACTGGAGAAGGGAGGTATGTCCTTTACATTTTTTTCTGGGACTTTAAAAATAGTGTCATTGAAGGACAACTAATATACAAAAAAAACTGCACATATTTTAAATGTACAATTTGATGTTTTGACATGTGTACATCTGTCAAGAAAATGAACATATCCATCTCGCCTAAGAGTCTCCCCATGTACCTACTTAACGTCCATTTATGCCTCTCCTGATAACCATTTATCTGCTTTTTGTCACTCTATAGGAGTTTGTAGTTTCTAAAGTTTTATAAAGATGGAATTGTACAGTATGAATGTTCTTTTTTTGTCTGCCTTCTTCTACTCAGCATAGTTACTTTGAGATTCATCCATGTTGTTGCCCCTGTTAATAATTCATCTCTCTGCCAGGTGTGGTGGCTCATACTTGTAATCCTGCTTTTAGGAGGCCAAAGCAGGAGCATTGCTTGACACCAGGAGTCAGAAACCAGCCTCGGAAACATAGTGAGATCCCCATCTCTAAAATAAAAAATAAAAAAATTAGCCAGGCATGATGGTACATGCCTGTAGTCCTACACCTTGGGAGGCTGAGGAGGGAGGATCACTTAAGCTCAGGAGTTTGAGGTTGCAGTGAGCTGCAATCACACTATTACACCCCAGCCTGGGTGACAGCAAAATTTTGTCTGACGAAAAAAAGTGCTTTTTTTTTGTACAGTGAAGCCCTATCACCATTGTACACTAAAGACCTATTCTGAGCTGGACTCACACCTGTAATCACAGCACTTTGGGAGGCTGAGGGTGGATCACCTGAGGTCACAAGTTCAAGACCAGCCTGGCCAATATGGTGAAACCCCATCTCTACTAAAAATACAAAAAGTTAGCCAGGCGTGGTGGTGTCCGCCTGTAATTCCAGCTACTCGGGAGGCTGAGGCAAGAGAATCACTTGAACCCAGAAGGTGGAGGTTGCAGTGAGCCGAGATCGCACCATTGCATTGCAGCCTGGGGGCAAAGTGAGACATTATCTCAAAAAAAAAAAAAAAAAATCTATTCTGTACAGCAAAGCCCTAACACAGAATATTTTGCTGATCTATGATTTTTGTTCTGCCAGAGTTACATCATATCCCCAACTCAATGATGTGTAGAAATGCTGAAATTTCTCTCTTTCTTGAATTTTTAACATGGGACCATACTACTTGCGAAGAATAAAAATATTTCATTTCAACTCATGATGCCATACTATTAACATCCAAGTTAGGATAGTATTTTCTACTTTTTCTTCTGCTCTGAACACTGACTCCTTTTTACTTTTAATTTAATATAGATTAAAAAGACACATGGTATATAACTAGGTTTATGATGAAAAATGGTAATACCCTGCTGTTATCTCTACTTCCAGCTTAGTGTGTGAAGAGAATTCATTGTCTTCCATTTCTTCTCTAGGCTACCCATCTCATTTACTGACATCATTATCTCCTTACTCTTGTTTTCAGATCTGATGTCTCCAGTACTGTTGACTTCCTTCTCTGGTTTTCTCTCTTCTCCATTCTCACAGGCACTGCCTTACTTAAAAGGCTTGCCTCTTACCTCTTGCCTATTTCCCATGCACCAGTGGAGTTGCCTCCTAACTAATCTGCATACCTCTGATTTATCCTGTTTCTGGTCTTTCTTCCATACCACTGCCAGTTTGCTTTCTAAAACACAGTTCTAAATCATTTTTCTACTCTACTCAAAAGTTTGGTGGCCTTCCAAATAAATTCTGGATTCCTTAGGATGATTTCTAAATGTTAGATCTGTCCCAAGTCTTTCCTATCTCATTTTTATTGATCTCCCTGTTCATTATTGAAAATGATTATCCACTCATTCTCAAACTGACCACTTGCTTTCACACCTACACCTGTATGTACTTTGCTCTCTCTGTTTGGAATACCGTTTCTTCCTATCTCTACTTGTCAAAATCATTCAGGGTCCGACTTAAGTGCTACCTTCTTCTAGACTCTTTTCTGGTCTGTCTTAGACTATCTCTCCATCCTGTACTCTAGTCCTATAACAGTCTTTATTCCTGAGTGTTGGCACTTCCATTTCAGCCATTTGATTAGATCTCTGTCCCATCTGACATCTTTAAAAGTACAGTAAAGTCCTATCACAAAATGTTTTGTTGCTGTATGACTTTTGTTCTGCCAGGGTTAGATTGTATCACTAACTTAGTGATGCCTAGGAATGCCGCACTTAGCTGAGGGGGCAGGTGGTAGGAAATGTGACCCAGGGAATGAGGTCACTATTAGATGTGTTCCTGATGTAGAAATGTATTAACTACAGTGAATGAACAGTTACGCATTTATTGACTGATCCCTTTGCCTTCTTTGACATGCTTAACAGTTATTCTAATGTTGACTGGCAAGAAGAGCTTCAGCTCATCTGAGACTCCCTACCCCTAAGCTGCTATATCATCCAGCATACGTTTTAACGATTGAAATTCATGGTGTTCCTTTAGAAAATGATGAGAAGACCATCAAGACTGAAAATTAGATATCGTTGGTAGACAGAGCACAGAAAAGAAAACACAGAAAAGCATAGGCAAGCAAGTGCTTACTGAACAAGTGCCAGATAGAACCCATATTAATTTGTTACAGTGTTTTTATTGTGTGTGGTTTTTCTCTGTTCC